TTCTTCTTCTTGAAATTCTTGTTCTTCTTCTTTTTGACATAATTATTCTTCTTCTTCTTGTTCTTGAAGTTCTTATTCTTCTTATTCTTCTTCTTGAAATTCTTCTTCTTCTTCTTTTTCTTCTTGAAATTCTTCTTCTTCTTCTTCTTGAAGTTCTTCTTCCTCTTCTTTTTCTTGAAATTCTTCTTCTTCTTCTTCTTGAAATTCTTCTTCTCCTTCTTCCTCTTCTTCTTTAAATTCTTCTTCTTCTTCTTGAAATTATTCTTCTTCTTCTTTTTCTTCTTGAAATTCTTCAACTTCTCCTTCTTCTTCCGTTTCACAATTTGTTGTCAATGTTAATTAGTTTACTAATTTTGTTACTGCTTCTCAGGCTGATGTTTGTCACGCATACCACGTGCTTCGAGGGCACGGAATACCGGAAAATCATATTGTAACTATGATGTACGACGATATTGCCAACTTCGAGGAGTAAGTGTTTCATTCCTTTAGACATTAGTGAAATGTTTCTTTAATACCGTATCCACTGGTTTCAATTTTACGGAGGCCAACGCACGCAGAATTTAAGCCTACAGATGGTTCCATAAGAAAGACAAAACTGTTGCCGCTTTTATCTATTTATGTTGACGGTATGTCGATCCGTGTTTTTCAATGACCTTGAGGACAAACGTGATGACCAAATTCCTAGAGTCATACGCTCAAGGTGTGTACTTTTGACCGCGTAGCTGATGAGTCGGCAAGCTTTTGAGGTTATCTGCCAAACTTACCATCACAACGAAGTCTCAATTTGCGCTTTTTTTTAAAAACAATCCAAACTACTTTCAGTGTAATTGAAGTCAAGGTACCATACACCTTCATCACACCTGGCTGATTCTTGTTGCTCGGTCGTATATCTCACACACCATTCAGGTTATACTTTTACTAATGCTAAGTGCGAACTGTATAGGCACGCTTGAAGTGATGCGGTACTGTCTACCGGTTTCTTTGGCAAAATATGCTGTGTTAATTACTTGCACTCCTGCTCACCTTTTGGGGGAAACCATTTTGGTTATTCAGCCTAGCTTGGTTGTGACATTAAAAAAATAGTGACAGATCGCTCCAGCTTGGATCACTACCGTGGAATTCTGTCTGAATGGCTAAGTGGAATCCAAACCCGACTGATCGCTGTTCAATTCTCGGTAGGAACATACAATTATTGTACACTGTTCGTGAGTTCCAACAAGGATAAAAGAGTTGGACGACGAGGGCCCAATCCATCCCTTAAGAAAAAGTGCCACCAACTGGTAGTACCTCATTTCTCCAGCTGATTCGAATGAATTCAAACAAAACGATGCGTTCATTTATCAGGCATATTGTCACGAGGCATAAAAGTATCCACCATATTCAATCAGAACTAGAGATATACATATATTTGAATTCATTATAATTTAAATCGACCGTGGATTGTATTTGGAAACGGCGACATTTTTAAACATTTTTTTCACCATCCCTGCGAACCGCAGATACATTTTACCTATGCCCGTCTCTAACAACTATGGAGTTGACAGAGACAGACTGCCACTTATGTTGTTTTTAGCAACGTGATTCCGTTTTTAGATTTATTCACGATATGCAGTTCTTCATCAGTTGGAGTACAGATCAGAACACCATGGCCACAAAAACGACAACCACCACTAACAGTAACAACTACAATAAAAACATTAGTGCCAAAATAACGACAGCTTGGTTGATTTAACGACTGAAGATAATCACTGTGTATGTGAAATAAACTGGTGTATTATTCCTAATGGAAACAAAGCATTATTTGTAAAGAAATAGGACATTTCACATTTTTACATATTTCTATAGTAAACAAAATTATCTCTCCCCACGGTTGATATATCGCATCTTATTTTCCACAAGGAATCCGTTTCCCGGGAAAATTTTCAATGACTACTTACACCGAGATGTCTATCAAGGTGTGGTTATCGATTATCGGGGAAAGGTAAGCCAACCGCGCCCTAAACTCTCTCCCCACCTACTCGCGTAGCACTCAAAAACCTCTCGAACTCTCGCAAATAACGCAAATGAAAAGTCCAATGGAAAATACTCTGGTTAATGCATTTGTTGACATTTGGGCTTGTTAATAATTGTCATTTGATATTCTACGTACTATCTTCAGTTGTGCTGCTTGAAGCTCGCAGAAAATCAAATAAAAACTCCTTGAGTGCTTTACATGAATTCATGCTGTTTTTAAAACCTCTAAGAAGACAAACTAATCAAGCTTTAAATCAAACTACCTCTCTACTATCTGGGATGTGTTCAATAAAACCGAGATAAAAATCCTTTTGTAGAACGCTTCATTTTCAGGGCAAATCCTTCCAGTCGGAATGAGTGGCTTCAGTGACAGAGAATCAGACGCCCGAGTATACAGATAAATCTGGTCAAAGTTGATTACATTTGAATGTGATAGAAATCTGTGTGACGATTAAGGGAAAGAGCATCGAAAGCTGTTTTGTCCTGTTTGGTACTCCTCAGCAGTGCAATTGAACGTCCAAATTGATGAGGTCTTGTGATTTACTCCCTTTTAGTCGACTCGAAGCCAAATGAGAAAGCGTTTCCTGCTCGTTAGACTCCTAGAAATATGTATGCACATGGTACAGATGGCTTGTTTGCAATCCTTCTCAAGCAGGCACCTTGTTTTATCACACAGAGCCTTACAACCCTCAAAATTATGGCTATTATGGCTACATATGTTCCATTTTCACGTCATGTATATTTTTTGATAAATCCTCTTTCAATACTCTCCACGTGCTTACTCACAAAGTTGTGTATACTAAATTGCCCAAAATAGTTGCATTCACTACATACTGCGAAGGTGATGCCTCTTCGTGTTCTCGTAAACAGCATTCTGGATTTTCGGGATATAAATGTGTGATTGGAAATATTTATTTGCTCGAAATATTCCTATTTCAGGATGTCACACCGAGCAATTTCATTCGTGTGCTACTTGGAGACGAACAGCTGAAGGCGGAAGGAAAGAAAGTGTTGTCCACGTGAGTGCACCATTGAAACGATTTACTTCGCAAAAGAATTTGAGACATGACTAACACCCACCTTGGGCAATTATGCCCCGCTCAGCATCAACTATTTAAATCCCACATCTTGTGCAGCAAAATAAGCTACTGGAGTGACATGTCACAAGTACAGTATCTCATCCAACAATATCCGAAATCGTTTCATTCATTGCATGGTCCATATACATAGGGAATCATATCCTCCCGGCATATTCAACAAACTATGCTTTTCTCACCTGCGTAAAGAGGCAACCCGATGAGTGGTATCCTGAGTTGCACCAGTGCGACACAGAACCACCCAACCACAAAGCATTTGGATCTCGTCAACGATGTTGCTATTAATGGAAATATGGCAATACCTGTATGTTCTAGAGCTCTTCGAGAGGTCATAGATGTCTGAATCTGTCATCAGCGTACTGCGCTCAGATGGATGACCTATCATAATCAGCCGAGAGGAGAAAACAAAGCAGCATTTCCTGAACCAATAAGACAACACACTTTCATACTTTCGTCGTTTACCGTGGTTAATTGATTTTATTCACCGTGGCATTTAGAACAACCAAAAAATGTGTGGTAGTTCACTGCGAGTTGCTAAATGTAAGTTTTGTTCAAGTTAATGAATCAATAAAATGAGTTCATTTGCAAAAGGTAGTCTGTAGTGTTATGCTTGTTAAAATTAGACCTAATAAATCAGATTAGAAGTAGACAAGTGCCATGTCTTTCAAATTGAATCAAAACGTCGAGGAGGCATGCAATACAATGAATAAAGGGATACATTTGGATAAAGTATGCTTCCCCGACGTTTAAGCTTAAATTCTAATCACAGAATGGTCGGACGTGACACGAAGTCAAAACAAATGCACTGTGCATTCCACAATTTCAGTTCACATTTTCTTTGTTATGTTCTCGATAAAATGTACCACATAAACAATTTACAAATGTTTTTTGGTTGATACAAAATATTTGCACATTTTCATTAGTAAACAAAAATTAACATCTTTGTTGGGATACCATATGATGTTTCATGACCGTTCATCGTGAATTTAAATAATCTGGTGCAAAATCTTGCTTTCGAATCACTTCTTTCACAATTTTCTTTTTCACAGCGGCCCAATGGATAACATCTTTATCTACTTCTCTGATCACGGAGCACCCAATCATCTTGTGTTTCCGAACGCTCAAGTGAGTTCATCACAAGAAGCAGCAGTTTTTCACAGTTTTTCAGTATGAATTAACCAACACAAACTGACTGTATTAAATGTGAATACCCCTAAGCGGTTAATCTCCGCTGTTTTCCAATAGGGATAAATTCAACGACAAAAAGATTATATATCCTTCGCTAAAGTAGTCATCAATGGTCGGGGCACCATTGCCCTGTATTCAGCAAATCACTGTAGTGGTTTTGTTCAACTAGCTGTTAATGTTGTGATTGTACGGACTCAACCGACGTACCTGTTGCAGTTTTTTTAGCACATTATCACGGTTCAATTGGTCCAGACTTGTTTGTTGTGCTTCACACAACCAGTTCGTAAATCTGTCAACCAGAGTGAACATTTCGCTTCCAGCCTTTTGAACATTTTGGTGCTCAATTCAATCCGACGGTACTCGAGAAAGACCAATGCATTTTCCATTCTTAATCATCCAGATGGTGCATCACACCGGTGAACGCTTAAGCAGCATAGGATTCAAAATCTGTTCTGTTGTGCGGGTCCGGCAAACACACGACTAATCGGGTTCATTCATCGACCGGTCGGATGTTGCAGTTCCAACAAAGAGTGCGATACGATGAATGTGGTGGACGGAAGGAGAGGAAAGGTCATGTCACATCCTGCTACGGTATCAAGTAGCATAGCATGACATGACATGACCATCCCTCGCCTTCCTTCCCCACATTCACTACATCGTTCGGACTAGTTCACTCCCATATCCAAGCGTGTGGTATTTGCCCACCTAACCCGAGCGTGAATCCGCACCTTGCCCATAGCCGTGAATCTTTTGACTGCCCGATGAATTTCGACTATACACAGTAGGGGTGCCATCGTCACAATGATGATAACAAGAGCACCACAAACACTACGATCCGGTGATTTCAGGTTGAGGGATTCCCAGTTGCGCGAATAGCAAAACTGATCCAATCAGATCGCTTATGGAGTCAGAGGGAAGTTATTTGTTTAAGGTCACTCGTGAGAAGGCCAAGACGATGTGAGACGCGGGAGCGATCGCACTGTCTTTAACTCTGAGACTTGATTGCAAAATGGGACCGTGTCTGTAAGGCGTATGCTCCTCAAGTTTGATTTGGAAACTAAAGGCAGTTATTAGATCCGCGATCGTCCGGTGTACCGCACTGGTCGGTTGATCGTACGTTTTTCTACATTTCGCCCTCGTGAGCAGAAGTCAGGTTGGTGGGTCGGTGACGCCGTCTGTTAAGCGCGACACGGTGGTCAACATAGTGATACATTGTTTACTGCGCACTACAAATTTCCCAAGGTTACTCGTACTTTCCCGGTCGTTGACAATGTGGCAATTACCAAAGATTATCACAGCAATTACCACCGCGGACGGGTCCGGTAATAACGGCATAATCCGAGCGATGCACTTTTAGTTTTCCAATTGAAATTGATACTTAACCAAATTAAACATGAAATGGTCTGGGCCCGCAACTACCGCTACCGTTCAGTAATGGTCAACCGTGTCACCCGGGGCTCACTCGACTGTCCAAGGGATGGTCTGCGCTTAGGCGCACACTCGCGTAAAGGAATCAAAGAGACAATGTATTGGTGTTCCTCAGAGCTCGTTTAACCTGTTTATACTAATCGTCTGTACTTTGGTGACACGTAAAATGACCATATTCCTCGATCACCAGAGGCACAGAGAAGAGAATAAGTTCCTATCGTTGGTTTTCTGTCGTCCATCCAGTGTAAAACGAAATATGTGATGGCATTCATATCAAGAGATCAAGACTGCTAGTAGAAACAAAGCCGGGCGTAAACCAGTTAACAATTTACATATATGTCAGGCCCATTTTTGCAAAAATGATGCCCATCACTTCATTAAAAATGAGTTTCTGATTTATGGCTTGCATGAATAATTATAATCAAACAAAAAGTCATGATAATACACAACATTATCTGATAAATAGAGCAGATATTTGTAAGAGAACTCAAGGTATCGTCTAAGCACAATAGTCACACACTCTCTGCCACTCGTAGTTACAATGTGACAACGTACATCCAATAAAACAAAGTGCTCCGATAAGGTGAATCAGACAATTTCACTTTCAACCCCTAGCGGTTGCTCAAAATTATTCAAACCATTATATAACCAAGTTGGGGCTTTCAACCCAAGAATAACGTCTGAAGTAGATTGTACAATGTCAAGAATATTATCCGGGTTTACGGTGTCTATGCTACAAACAGTTTTTATTTTGCAGCTCGCTGCCAGTGAATTCAACAACACTATTGCACAGATGCATGAGAGAAAGTTATATCACAAAATGGTCGTCTACTTTGAAGCATGCTACGCTGGTTCCATGTTCGAAGACATTTTGTCATCGGAAATCAATGGTATGTGGTTCGGGCACTAATACTGTGTTTGTGCATATTATTCATTGAAATAAATAAGTGAAAATCGAAGACCGTTGCTCCCCCAGATTTGCTTGTAAAGTAACTTTTACGAAACTTATTTTGTGCCAGCCTGATTGAAAATACATTCTCGGGCGGAGAACGTACTTCATTTTTGATCAATGGTTTTGTTTAAAGTATTCACATATGATTACTGATTTCCGAGTCAGAGAGGAAGTAGATGAACCAGTTTCTGATCTGAAGGTCAAGATCGGGAGCCATTCGATACGTTGGTCTCACATTCAGCATTGAAAAGGAAGCGTTCGACAACTTTTTTTCAAACACCCGCTAAAAGAAACTTGAGGCAGGAAGATGAATAGAGGCAAAAATAGTTGTTTATTTTCTGCCCATACTGGTTTTACTATGAACTGTAAATGTGCACCAGCGAATCACTTTTCCTTTTAAAATCTGTACAAAAAACGCTAGATGACTGCCTCCCTTCTTCAGTTAACACATTTTGACAGGAATCAGTCCGCCTCGAATAATAAAGCGAAATGTTGGTACCCTGAAAGCACTATTTACACGCTGTCCAGCGATAGATGTTCAAGATCACCATCTTCTTGAACTAGATCAAACTGGGTTCTACTAATAAAATTATTCTGTGCCACCTTCAGAATAGACGCGGGAATCCCTTAACTCAATGAAATTGTCTAGGGTTTAAACTCATCCAAATTCCCTGGATTCCCACAAGATTGATCCAGTGGGAGACAGCGGTGGCCAAACTTCGAATTCGATCCGCTGCAACCGTAGTATTTTGTTTGGGCAATCGATGATTGCATTTGTTGTGTAAGGTGCTGCTCAATCCTACTAGAACAACCCCGGCAAAAAGCCGAAATACAGACACTTTGTCTTTTGCAATATATTTAAGTACAATGATGTATTCATTTTGTCAGATAAAAACCCTGGGCAGATTACCAGGCAACGGTTTATTGTGTACCGCAAATTCACCTTCTTTCGAATTTAATGGGGAGTTAGAAGATCTACAAATGCGTTCCTCTAGTAAACCTTCAAACTGCCTCATCTTTTACAGACTTATTTTTCCTAGTTCAAAAATGGCTATATTCTCCGGAATTCAAATTTTACCATGCTCCTCAGTGAGAAATAAAAAAATTGTTTTCAATATTTTTCATTACTCAAGTAGTCAGAATCATGACATGTTATGAAAACTCCGCATTCTTTTTTTCGTTACCTGAAGTCTTTGCTGTGACAGCGGCCAATTCACACGAATCAAGTTACGCAACATTCTGTGATGATCCAGACATTTGGACCTGTCTTGCAGATGACTTCTCATACAAATGGATGATAGATTCTGAAAATGTGAGCCAATCAGATTTTTATTATTTTTTTTTGGAGGGGCGGTGCGTGGGGTCGGGTCGCGGCAATAGGAAATTGAGCATCATAATACTAGAAATACAAGTTGTTTGACAAATAAATCTGAATTCATGGTGTACTGCGCCTCTTTTGTTGATAGCAGATTAAGCGTCAGTGCAAAACGCATGTCAGATCACGGCACATCATCGGGCTACCTGTTAGTGCGAATCACCGAACTGGGCGGATTATTCGACTTTTGCAATATGCTCTTCATCCAGCAAATCATGTATTGTCCAGG